CGAAAAGGGAATCGAAAAACCCTAACTGTTGCACCCGTCAATTCAATTTCTTGATACCGTCTCTGTATTCTCTCTCTCTCTCTCTCTATCGCGCACACACGCGCGCGCGCGCGCACACGAGCACGCGTGCTTTCAACGAAAGAGTAATGCTTGTGCACCAAATCTGGAGTTAATGTGTTGATTCCTGTAAAGGGTCCCAAGAGCAATCACTTTATTCAATCCCAGTACCCGAAAGTTCGTTTCTTTTGATTTTGTTTCTTCAGTTTTACCTTTTTTTTTTCTTTGATTTCAAGGTTGCTGCCTATTTGGGTCCATGAATTAATAAATATCAGAAAAGGTTTGGGTGAACTTTTTTTCTCTGTACTGACTGCGGAAATTGATTCAGAGTTCAGTTCAAATCAGTGTTCGAGCAATGCCGGACGACTTGATAATGCATTTCTCCAATTCTTCGAACCAATCGGATCAATCCTCGAAGATTGCAAAGCTCGAGGCCCGATTGGTCGGCAGGTCTTCATCTGCAGTTGCCTCACAGCCCCAAGCTCCGGCCCAGCTGAACTCGTGGCCCACCTCAGCCAAGTTTGTAGAGACAGGAGATAGCCTGCCGGACTCTTTTGTCGACAGCGATGATTCTGATGATGTGAGTATCTGGAGTATTGATTGTTGTTGTTTGTGCTGAATTTTATTCATGTAGGATTTGTTACTTTTTCAGGTGACTGAATGGATGTGATTGAATACTTCATTCGGAAGGGATTCATGAACTTAATGTTTCTGTTTCTTTGCATGCATATATAGTTTAGTAGGGTATTCTGGTTTAGTGATGTTTATATGGACTGTTTGTTGATGAAATTTGTGTTCTGTTTGTGTTTATGATGAATGGCTGGAATAAGGAATTTATGTTATGCTGCTGCCTGACCATGATTCTTGCTGTACTTTTTATAGTTGAAGTACAAAGTATGGATATCAAAGCAAGTGGAAAGCGGGTAATTAGGAAATTTGTTTGACATGTGTGTAGCATTTGTGTACAGTATTACAAAGGATTTTCCGCTAATAATAGTCTTTATCCCAGTATATGTCAGATTGATGGAACTTCACAGTATCATCACAGTGTGATTTACATGCAATATTTGCACTATCCTAATATCCAATGTTATATTTAATCAGTTGGTTATCTATAGGTCATGGGAGATGAAAAATTTCTTTCATGTGATATCGTGAAGATTTTCATCTCTAGCCTACCCCAACTTGCTTGGGACAAAAAGGCTATGTTGTTGTTGTTGTTGATATCGTGAAGATAGTTTTGAACATTGTTAGTATTCTATAATCTTGTGAAGATAAGTTTTTCGATTGAGATGATGGAGTTCTGCCATCTCAAGTGTTAGGCCATGTGAGGTAATGGTCCATGGATTAGACCTGCAGAATGTAACTATGGAATTTCCAAGTAATGAGATCCAAAAATAAAAAGATCCATTTTGTTGATATAGTTAGTTCTTATTGGATGATTTAAGTTCTCCTGTAATTGTATAGTCGCCATATGGTTTCATAATCACATAATCTCTCATCTTCTGGTGCGGGATTGCTCCATTCTCATTTGTTCCCATCTGAAAGTCTGTGTCAAAATTATCACCAATGTCCTCTTTGTTTTTTCTCAACCAAAGTGAACTAAGAGAAATCATGGTTTGATTCCAAATGTAGCTGCTTGCTCAACCAATGACTATTTAGATGATCTTTCCAAGCACGTATCTTGGAGAAAATAAGGACTTCATAGTTTTATTTTTTACTTTTTTAAATGAATTTAACATAAATATGGAAGCGATCAAGAAAATGCTGATAATACATTGAGAATTCGTTCAAAATATTTCGCCTCAAGTGGTTTAGGGACTATTAGAATTTCTCTTGTGGCTAACGAGTTAGCTCAAAATACAATTGACCTTGAGTTAGGATAAACAGGTTCATGCTCTTGATCTCAAGTATGAAGGTCAACTCCATATCCATGGATTGGCAACATAGCTTTTGGATGCTTTCATCGTGTTTCCTACTTTATTTTATACACTTAGGCCAAATCTTATCCGTATGTTAAAGAGGGAAGTAAATTATGATCCACTTCATTCATGCATAACTTCCTCAACTAAGGTCCGCATGGTGATATCAACATGTGCGTCCTTTTTTCACGTGATAGTTTAGTCCCACTAAATGCAGTAATATACGTTGAAAAGCCGATGAATCAATTCTTGAAGTAGGACATTATGACGGAATGAATTTCATGAACACAATTAAGATAATTCTTCCTCGTTAGGGAGGCTCTGATAAACTCTTTTTGTCATAACATATGAATGATAATTTCTTTCTTGTTATGAAAAAATGGGGAATCATTCATGTATTGATATTAAGTTTGGTTGCGATGGGCCAATGAAAGCAATGAAGATATCGTTCCTAAAGCTAACTTCTCTTGTAGTGGGACCTCAAGGGTAGGAAGCTAATCTTTTGTATCGATCAAATTAAGTAGCTTGTTAGCTATAGTTGGAAGCCTCATGCTAGAACTTTGCATGGTCTTGTCAACTTAAGTCGGGGTTTGTTTTCCAAGTTTGTTTGTTGAGAATGTTTGTGCGGGTTTATTGCTACATTTTAATGGATCCCTAGATAAAAGTTCTGTTTTCGGGTCTAAGGACTTGCCAAAACATTTTTCATAATATCTTCACATCTTGTCATCCAAGATGGTTATTTCTAATGCTAATAAAAATATTAACCTACAAAATGATAAAATGTTCCGAAGGCATAAATAATAATCAATATATATAATGCATAACAATTTCATGTCTATCAAAGGGTTCATTGGTCTAGTCGAATTATGAAAGGATTTGATTGCCTTTAACTTGGCGTGGTCAAAGATATAAGATAATCACCATTAACATATAACAAGGTAATCAAAATAAAATCCGATTCGATCTAAGAGCAAGATTGTTATTAAAGTAAAATTGGAATTTGAAATGTCCAGTTCATATCACACGAATGACTAAGGTTGGTAGTCGAGAGAGCAATTGGTCGGCCCTATGTTCCATCAATGTGCTTGCAACGAATTAATTGCTAGGCGACATATTTTTAGACAATGTTGTAAATCTGCCTCTTGCCCCCATTAATGCCCGGCGTTAGGTTGCCATTTACCATTGCCGCATGCTCTCACATGGGCCATACTTAATCCCTATAAATTTCCGAGGCCTAGTCGCTAGTTGCTAATCTATGACTCGATCAGCTTATAACAATTTTTTGAATGTCTTGCGACTATCAAATCTAATTTCCTATGTGCATCTTTGTTAGAACTTTGATTATGTTAAAAAATGATGCTTCCTCTTGTACTCCATTTTATATCTAGTTGACATAGTTCGCTCAAAAGGTAGAAAAAGTAATATTGTACTTTTGGCATATATTATGCCAAAATAGTACCTCTTTCTTTAGAGTAATTATTGATTGTTTTACACGACTAGCTTGTAGCTCAAGTAGTATCACTCATAAAGGGTTGTACTGGTTGATACAGGAGTCAATCCTTGTGTTGTTCGAAAAGTTCGATTCACCATTTAAAATCTCCAATGTCCTCTGTATTCCATATGTATAGTGTTTTGACACTCGGTTGCAGGTTCCTTGGAATTTCTCTCTTTTATTCATACATGTAACTTGTTCTTTTTCATTTTTGACTTGTCTCTTTGCATCTTAGAATGGAGGACCCTATCTTATACAAGCAAATACTCAAAAACGGCGAAAGCTCGAAGAAGATAGTTCCCCTGTTGGTGAACATGTTGAGGTTAACTGTTTCCTTTTCTAGTTGGCATGGGCTGTTGATTTAATATATTTATTTATGTATAATTGTGTATATCTGTATTTACGTATAATTGTATATATATATGTGAATATAATTATATTTCTTATAGTTGTACCTGCTTTGACAATTTCTTCCTGTATCTTATGCTTATTAATGTTTGGAGTTGCTGAGTGTTATATCTTTGCTTGTCCGAGTCCTTTAGGATGGTAATATTTCAGAGAATGTACAGTTGGCAGTACCTGATACTAGACAAAAAACCATAGAAATAGTAGACTCCGACAAGGCTGTAGCAGAAGTGAGTAAAAGAAAACAGGGCCGTGGAAGGGCGAATTCTTCAGGTAGAGGCCGTGGCAGTCGAGCAAAAAATCAGATGACTTCTCCATCAAACGGCCAGGTTGTAAACTCACATCAAAAGGTGGGCCCACCATGGAAGTTGCTTTATTTGTATCTTTAGGTGCTTCTTTTGTTTTCCTCTAGTTAAATTACTTTTTTACTTTGTTTTACTTACGAAGATTTGGTAATTTGATTTTGGTGATCTCACTTGTGTATTAGACATGTGATGTGAGCCTATTGGGGGACTTGTTTCTGCCAGAATATAGTTAACGTACTCATTATGGTAATAGGGCTGTGGAGATTGAAATAATATTATCTATTCCTTTTTTTTAATCGATCTTTCTTATCCCGAATAAATTGCAAAAATTAAATACTGGTGTTATGATTTTCTGTTGGAAATCTAATTGTGTTCCATGAAAATTTACTCGTGGTCCATAAGGCCTATATCTGTGCCTCCTCGATATGTTAACTGTTAATCCTTTAAATTTGTATCCAGTTCGTCTACTTTGAATTGATTGAATGGTAAATAGTTAATTTATTGTTCGCATAATCTATTATGTCCTCTTATTGAAAAATGATGCATTTTATTTATTACGTCTCTGGATATGCAGGAAGAGTTGATCAAAGAGCGACTTGGGCACGATAGCCAATCATCTTCAGAGGTTTCCCATTGTTTCGAATTCTTTACTTTGTTAAATTTCAGTGTCTTTTTTTTCTTTTTCTTTTTCTTTTCTCTTGGAAAATAACCTAGAATTCCTGTTCCTATTATGTCGTTTTCTGAATATTTTGTTTTTACAATATTTGAGGTGGTATCATATGCACAGCTGTTTATTTGATACTTATACCTATGATTTATGTATATTAGGATGATGCAAATTCATTGCGCGCTAAGGTTGCGTTATTGGGGGAGGAGCTGACAAAATCACGTGAGGAGGCTTCTGACTATCGTAATAAGTGTGAATGCCTTGAAAAGGTACTTTGAAGTTTCTTATTTGTTTAAAGGAGTTACAGTTTTATTTTCTATGTTGCTCAAATTGTCATTGCTGATTATTATTGTGGTTTACATCAGAACCTTACCTGATATGTATGTTTTTTGCTACTTGAAAAGGAGCTGAAGGATGTGAAAGATTATGAGCAGCAGATGAAGCCTAAGGTTAATATTCTTACCTTTGTGACTCATTATTCTCGTTAGGTCTATTTATGTTGAGTGTTATTTGTGGTTCTTATTCTATGCCACTTTATTATTACTTCTAATCATTTATGAAGAATCAAAAGAAAAAAAAAATTAAAAAATTAACATAAGTAAATTACATAGCAAAAAGGACTAATTTCTGCATTCATGATTTTTGTACTGTTGATGATCCAGTAGTATTTAAGGTAGTCCTGAAATCAGTTTTGTGGAGTCATGACAGGTTTTACTTGATGGGTTCGTTGTTCATTTTATTTTATTTTTGTATTTTTTTTTTT